AGCCCGCGAGCCACAACTACTGAGCCTGCACACCACAACTCCTGAGCCTGCCCTCCAGAGCCCACGTATTGCAACTACTGAGCCCACAAGCTACAACTACTGAAGCCCGCATACCTAGAGCCCGTGCTCCGCAACAAGAGAAGCCACCACAATGAGAAGCCTGCGCACCGCAACGAAGAGTAGCTCCCGCTCACCGCAACTAGAGGAAGCCCACGCACAGCAGTGAAGACCCAACGCAGCCATAAATAAATAAATAAATCTGTAAAGATCATTTACAAGTCAATGAGAAAAACGTAAAAATTCAATAGAAAAAAAAGAGCTAATAGCATGAATAGGCAGTTCATAAAGAAGGTATATGAATGAATAAAATATGGTGGAAAAGAGATTCATCTTCACCAATTATTAATGAAACGCAAATTAAACTAAAATGATCTCATTTTGTCCTGTCAAATAGTCTGTGTGATAGCCAAGGTGAAGGGGAGAATGTACATTGATTTAGATTTTCTGGAAGGATCTCATAATTATGAATCACCAAGCAATAAAATGACCCTTCCATTTTGACCCGGTTCTTCAGCTTACAGGAAGGTATCCAGAGAAGCTAGAGATAAGTTAAAATTTTTGGATAGGTATTATTTATAAAGGTAAACACCTAAAAACCAACTCATTGTCCAAAACGGGGGAATGGTCAATTTAACTGTGACAACCAACATGATGGCGTATTATGTAGCCATAAGAAATTGTGTTTTGGGTGGATGATAACGTGGCAGAATGCTTTCACATAGCAAAATTGTTTAATAAAATTGCTTAATTGTTTAATAAAAAAGAAAAGAATACAAAACAATTTAAGCCATGACCCCAGTTTTATACTTTTAAAATCTATATAGAAAGGCTACGTTAGCCATTTGGTCCATCATTAATTCAACCAATATTCTCTGAGTCCCTGCACTGCCAGCGTCTGTGTGAGGTTCTGGGAAACAGTGATGGAGAGAAACAGATGTTGTCCTCACCTGGCTCATCCAACCAAAGGAGGAGAGGATGGTCATTAAATACTTTCCCAAATAACTGTTTAATTACAGTAGAGATAAGTACTTTGGGGAAAAAGTACAGTATTTAATGAGCATATTATGCAAGGGGGTATACTGCCAGCACTGGGCAGGTTTTCTTCTCTACACTTTTCTGTACTCCCTAGATTTTCTACCATTGGTGTTTACTTTTGTTCTGAAAAAATAATACATTTTTAATTTTAAAAAAGAGAAAAGGTTTTAAAAAATGGAGCTTTTAAGTCGAAGAAGAGAAGCGAGAAGCAAAGTGGCTTGGGAGACGTGGAATCTTCAGCTATTTGAAGAACAGTTTTGTGGGAGGAACTACAGTTGGCCCATGTGAGCCCAGCGGGTCTAAGACACCAGTGGGTCCTAACCACAGAGAGAGATTTTGGTTCCCTGTGAAATTCATGTGACATTCTTACTTTTTAAGCAACAACATGAGTGAATAACTGAACACCCAAGGTGCTCCTGCTACAGACCAGGACTGCATAGAACAAACCGCGCGTTTCAGATGCGCACCTGGGCACACAGGCAAGCCAGGGAGAGCCCCGGGGGCAAAAACAAAACCAAAGGCCGGAGTGAGGCTGTGAGCTGCTGGGGGTTGTTGGGGGAGGGCTGGGGGAGCTGATCTCACTAAGCACTGGACTTGATTATAAGAGCCATTGAGAACATTCTCCCCTGGGGATAGGTCATGCCTCTGCTGGAAGCAGTTCTCCTCTCAGCAGATCTGGGTGCTTGGGGTTGACCCTGCTGCCTTCACTTCCTCTGGACACTCAGATTCCCCAAGGCCACTGCCACTGTTTATGCCAAATCTGAAGACAGACAAGGGACCCCCCCCCCACCAAATGATCCCTGCATTTGGGTGCCTGACTCCCTATGCTTCCTGCCGCCTCCCCCAAGACACCAAAAGCACAGGCAACAAAGGCAAAAATGGGCACGTGGGACTGCATCGAACTTCTGTACATCTAAGGAAACAACCAGCAGAACATAAAGGCAACCTACTGGATGGGAGAAAATATTTGCAAACCATATATCTGAGAAGGGGTTACTATCCAGAATACTCTCGTGTTTCCCCTTTGCCGTGACTCACCACGAAAGGGATGCTAAGGCTTACGGTGGAGGGGCAGGTGGACAGTTAGGGGACGAAGCCCCATCTATCTCCCTGGAGGGCGGGAATCCCAGGCTCAGGATCATTCAGGAACCCGTACTTACCTCCCCAGGAGGGTTACGGACTCCACAGCTGAGCTGAGCCTTAGGGAGGGCCTGGCCACTGTCACAACCCCTCCCCACCCCAGGGTCTTCCAGCCTTTTTTGTTCAAAAAGTGGTAGAGCAGAAAGTTGGGAAGTCATGGTAGCGTGAACAGCCATCCTAGTTTTAGCACTGAAGGTCCTGTATCCCGGGGAACCCTCAGACCCAGGCAAACGAAGGCAGTTGGTCTCCCTGAGTCTTGATCATATTCCTGTTGAAAGTTTGGTGCCCAGTTCTGCTCAATTGTAGTAACTCACATTTATTAAGACTCAGCTGTGGACATATCCTGTGCTACTGATGCTCTCATGAAACTTTGCAATAACCTTATGAAGTGGGCACAGTGATTATCCCCACTTACAGGCGAGGAAACGGAGGCTCAAAGAAGTCACGTGACTGGCCTGAGGTCCCACACCTAGGAAGTAGCTGAACCTAGACTTTTATCAGTTCAAAGATACATTGTAACATCTGAAATGGGGGTGCACCTTGGAATCAAGGAGATAGCTGCCAGCCAAGAGGCAGTCACCAAAAAATTGTCTTTGCGCGCTGGTAAACAACCTTGATTGCATTGTCATTGGTCACTTTTTTTGTAACTTTGGCAGAGTTGTGTGCATTTTTTGGCACTACATTTGTTGGGTTTAATTGCTGTTTGGAATGTCTTCTGCGATATTGCAGGATGATTCAGATAGAAGATGAAAAGTAACTGTGCCTAGAAATACCTGGAAACAGTAGCAGCGGGTCAATTTGATATTACTGAAGCAAGTATTTGTTATTGGAGGAACAACTGTAGTTTTTGCAAAGCAACAACCAAGAAAGATGGAGTCCCTCAAATAGACAAAGTTGGGTTAAGGTTTGCTGCCGAGATGCCTGGAAAAGGATCCCTTACACCAGTGGTTCTCAAACTTGAGCATGTATCGGAATCACGTGGGCAGCTTGTTAGACCAGATTGCTGGGTCCACCTGAGAGTTCCTCATTCAGTTGGTGGGGGTGGGGCCCGAGAATTGCCTCTGTAGCAAGTTCCTAGGTAAGTCCAGTGCTGCTGGCTGGGGACCATGCTTTGAGAACCAAGCAGAGCAGAGGAAGCAGGAGCAATAGCTAATCCCGCAGAGTAGATGAAACATCTCAACAAGAGGCGGGTGTGGTTGGTTAATGCATCAGAGAGACTCGGTGTGAAGATGGAACATCAGTTTGTCAGACTCTTTCGGCCAGCTTTAAACAAAAGCCACTTCCCCCGACATACTTCAATTGAGGAAAATGGAAACCATGATTTTGCTCAAATACCAAATACTGATAGAACCCAGCTATTCTTTGACATGCACTGGAATGAAGTTGTCATTGCCAAAGGTGCCCAAGGAGTACAGGTAAGGAACCTGAGTTTCCTATCAAGTATCCAAAGAAATCTAAAAGAATTCATTCAATGAATACTATAAAATGTCTAAGGAATATCTATACGTATATAAATACCTAAGGAATATGAAAACATTGCATTATAATGTGTTGAATAGGCAACTTTTAAAAATTTATTGTGTGTAAAATAATGCTGCATCTTACAGTCTATAACATCTTAGATTCAAAGAAAGATGTTTGTTTTAAGAGAAACTGTAATTAACACCTCAAACCTGTGGAGGGAGTATTACTGCTTCAGGCAAAGCCAAAATAGGGAGTAATGTCAGGCCCATGTTGATTTAAAGAAGTGTACTCTGTAAGTACGATGGCAGAAATGTCAAAGGTGGTGCCTCAGTGACTGAGGTTTGGAAACAGAATATGACGTTGGCTCTCAAAGCCATCATTAGGGCCTCTCAGCCTGACAAGTTCATCTAATGAACAAGCCCCATGGTTGTATTTACTCCTATTTGAAGCCAAATCTCCATGTGACGATTACATGTAATAAAGGAAGAAAGAAAATACATATTCCCAAACCATAAATTTAATGAACAAAGTAGTCAAAAGAACTATAATTGAAAAAAAGAAAAAAGAAATTTGAGACTGCCTATTTTTCCTGTTATAATGACAAGGTTAAAGACAAAGATGATAAAGATGTTTGGTCTCCTTTTTATTCTTTTTTCCTCAAAATTTCAGTAAGAATACAAGGTTTGTTTGTTTGTTTTAGGAGTACTTGTGTTAAAAAGTATTTATGTTTAGAGAGTATTTGTAGTTTTGCCCAGAATTCCTTCAATCAGTTCCTTTCCAGTTGTGTGTTAGGATTTTGTGATAAAGCCTATGAAAGTAACTAATGCTTTTGGCTGAAGTTAACAGAAAACCTACCTGGTAAATGGTAGGGACATTTCTTTTTTATTTAGTAAGTCTAGATTTGAATGGTTTTCAGGGCTCTGGCTCAACATCTGGTTTTCTTGCTCTCCCTTTATGGTTACAGAATGGCTGCCACAGATCCAGACATCACATCCTCACTCCAGCATGTCCAAAGACAGAAAGTGGGGCAACCAGGGCAGCAAGAATGAGCTTTCCTCAACTACCTCTCTTTCTGCCCCCACCTTTTCTTCAAGTCAGGGAGAAAATCTTTTCCAAAGGCCCTGCAGCAGATGTTCTCTACTGTCTCATGGGCTAGAGTGGGGTCACATGATCACTCCTAAGCAGCAAGGGAGACTGGGAAAGCAATCTCAACATGTTCATTCTCTACAAAGGAAGGTGGACAAAGGGAATATCTATTGGGTATTCATATTATGAAAATTAATAATCGTCATATCTTTTAGTTTCAGCTCCAGAATTTGTTTTTGAACATGGCTATCAAACATATCTGCCCACAGAAAGCAATGAAAACCAGACAGCCACTGTCATCTCTCTCCCTGTCAAGTCACGAGCCAAAAAGCCCACGGCCCCAACTGCTCAGAAGAGGCTTAACTGTTGCTATCCAGGTAAAGGCAGCATCTTGTCCTACCTACTTTTGTAGAGAATGTGACATTTAACAGGTCCAAGACTCGAACTCGTGAATTCCTGACAACTGGACGTAGATGTGCTCCAAACTGCTTGGCTTAAAAAAATCAACCCACAGCATTTGCATCATCACATACGACCTCTCACTGTCTCTGGTCACCATGCACTGGGCTCTAAGACTTTTATAGCCATGGGTCTTTCTTTGAATGGGACTAGTGAAAATTTCAGATTCCTGTGAAATTTTCTTGCTGTGCTGTAACTTAGGAAGACATCCAGAAAAATTATTCTTTCCTTACTTAAAAAAAAAAAACAAAACCTTTAGGGGGCTTCCCTGGTGGCACAGTGGTTGAGATTCCGCCTGCCGATGCAGGGGACACGGGTTCGTGACCCGGTCTGGGAGGATCCCACATGCTGCGGAGCGGCTGGGCCCGTGAGCCATGGCCACTGGGCCTGCGCATCCGGAGCCTGTGCTCCACAGCGGGAGAGGCCACAGCAGTGAGAGGCCTGCGTACTGCAAAAAAAAAACCTTTAGGGAAGGCAAGGAAAACTTCAGGCTTAAGGAAAAGTTGTAAGAATAGCACCAAAAATTTCTATGTATCTTTCATCTGGATTTCCCAAATATTAACATACTATGTTTGCTTTGTTATTCTTTCTATATATACATATATTTCCCCCAAAGTTGCAGACATGATGTCCCTTTACCCCTAAGTACCTCAATGTATATTTCCTAGAAACAAGAATATTCTTTTATGTAACCACAGTACAATCATCAATATCAGGAAATTAACATTTATACATACTATTATCAAATTGCTGACCTTATTAAGATTTTACCAATTGTCTCACTAATGTCCTCTGTATCAAAAGGAAAACTGGTCCAGGATCCAGTTCATAATACACATTGCATTCAGCTTTCATGTGTCTTTAGTTTCCTTTAATCCTAAGCTTTTGTCTTTCATGACCTTTGACAGGTTTGCAAAGCACAGGCCAGTTATTTCATATTGAATAAAATGTTCGTCACTTTGGGTTTGTCTGATGTTTCCTCGTGATCAGATGTAGGTGAAGCAATTTGAGCAGGAAGTACAGACGAGATATTATGTACTTGGTACCTGGTATCAGGAGCACACTGATACCTGTTGGTCCCATTACTGTGGGATTAACTTTCATTACTTGGTTAAGGAAGTTTCTGCCAGGCTTCTCCATTCTAAAGTGACTGTGTTTCCCTCTGTCATTGATTTTTCCTTGCCTTTTCTTAAGGTTGCCAGTTCAAGACTGCCTATGGCATGAAGGACATGGAGCGTCATTTAAAAATCCACACGGGTAAGTGGTTCACACACATCCCTTCTCTGTGCTGGGAGCTGGGGATCCGGACAAGTCAGACACATGATATGATGCAGAACCTCACTGGTCATCATGGGAATACAAACACAAATGAAATAAAAACGAGATGCTGTTTCTACACATGATTTTGGCAGAAAATGTTTAGAGCAATAAAATCCAGTGCTGGAACAGATATGAGAAAACTTAGAAGTGGAAATGTGAACTGGTACAGACATTTTGGAAATTGATCTGCCAGAATTAATTTAAATGCACATATTCTTCTCATTTGGAGGAGATGATCCTGTAAGTAAGGGGTGTGTGTGTGTGTGTGTGTGTGTGTGTGTGTGTTTGTGGTGTGTGTAATGACTGGTAAACAAACGAAGGAAGGGGAAAATAGTGACTTTTCATTTATGTATCTTTACACTGCATCATTGGATACCTGAGTGTGTTTTGCAATTTTGAAAGGGGAATTTAATAAATACTTTTTTTAAAGGAGAGAAAAAAAGGATTACATGGAAAAAGAAAACTGTGATTACTTCTGGTGATTTTAATTTTCTCTAATGTATTATTTTTATGTCTCCCAGACCTTCTGCATGGAGAAGGAATTGCTTTTAGACTATTTTTCCTGAAGTATTAGACGCTCATAATTCAGATGATACAGTCATATATAAATTCAGTGAGTGTCAACGTGTATAAGGGAGGGACACTGAAATTTGGCGTGGGCATCCCTAATTGCCCAAATTCTGCTACTTAGCCTCAGATAAAATATCTGGAAGATAAAGAAGATAAAATATCTAGCAGTTATCGCTGATATTCCTTGGCCACGGCCAACGATTGCCTTGTTGCACTGGGATCACCATCATATCTAATCAGCCTCACGGCGTCATGTCATTTAGATTTCTTCTAGTTATCACAATCTGAAGTTATTAAGTTTTAGGTATTGGTAAGCATTCTCAATGTGACAAGCAATGAATCTCTCCTGGTGGGTGCCCTGTGTTGAAGTTCCATCAGTCACACGTAGCATATTCTTCATTGTAAGAGTAAAGTGCTGTCATTATGCATGATAATTGGGGAAGCATTATAAAAATGTAAGTGAGGACAGCACCCTGGAGTCCATCGCTGCAAATCTTCAGGAAGCATCCTCTACTCACAGTTAGCCACGCTTGGGTTTGTAGGATGATTTGTGCATAACTGCAGCATCTCCGTCAACATCTTCAAGTCAGAGAGTTGACAAGGTGTACTTACCTTAGTTACTTTCGGAGAAGAGCTCGTGGCCAGGAACAGCAAGAGTGGGGCTCTTTACCAGCAGAGCTGGCCGTAAGCCATCCAGCTCCACCGACATCCGGCATCTGCTCGGTGTTGCACATACACAGGATGGCGCCCACAGAAGCTGTTTAGCAGCTGACAGTAATGAGAAATTATTGTTCCTGGATTTTTTAATTTGACTGTGAACATTTTTAATAATAAAATTACAATCTTGGGCTTCCCTGGTGGCGCGGTGGTTGGGAGTCCGCCTGCCGACGTGGGGGACAAGGGTTCGTGCCCCGGTCCGGGAAGATCCCACATGCCGCGGAGCGGCTGGGCCCGTGAGCCATGGCCGCTGAGCCTGCGCGTCCGGAGCCTGTGCTCCGCAACGGGAGAGGCCACAACAGTGAGAGGCCCGCATACCGCAAAAAAAAAAAAAAAATTACAATCTTTAATATACTTCTAGATGTATTCTTAAATCCCAGATGTTTGTTCTATGAGGATAGTGACCAACTTTTGGCTGACAATTGATTTTAGCACTTAGCTATTTAGGATTTGGCCAAAATACATGTTTGATATGTAAAGAGTGAAAATCCTGACTCACAGCCCACATCCTTCTTATCTGACACACGCACAAAAGTCACCAGTCTTAATAATCCAGTGTGTCTCATTCTTAAATTTTGGCATGTGTATACCAGGCTTAAAAACACACAATTTACTTTTTCCATCTCTTATTAAGTTAATAATATATACACTCTCTGCAACTTTGTTTCTCCTTTAATGCTGGATGTCCTTCCATGTCCGTATGCATGTATCTACTTTATTCTTTTCGATGGCCAAGTAGGAAATTGGTTCAATAATCTATAGTACATTTACAGTATAGTACATATAATACTTCAGCCTTAAAAATCATGTTGTAGAAATTTAATGATGTGAAAATGATTGAAATTATTTTAAGTGCAAGAAAGTAGTCAGTGGAGAGGCAGTGTTGCATTTGGCTAAGAAAGCAAGACTGTCCTGGGTTCTAATCCCGGTTGTTGAGAGAATTAAGTAAAATCATTCAGAGGCACAGTACCTTCCAAAAAATAAGTGTTTAAATTGATGTTGGCCAAGAAGGTTTTTGTACCCCAAAATGTGCACACACACATACAAGATAATTGGAAAAGTAGGCATCAAAAATTAGCAGTTGTTCACGGGTGGCAAGTTGACAATGTGCGTTAGTGTGTACAGTTTAAGCTGCTGTAGCAAAACAGCCCAGCACCAGCTCACACGAGGTGGGGGTTTATGTCTGTCTCACGTAGCTGTCCAGAGGTAAGCAGGCGGTCTAGGCAGTAGGCAGCTCTGTCCCCATCACCCAGGGACTTAAGTTCTCTCTATGTATTACAGTACATTAGGCTACGTATCCAACATCTGCAGGTGTGCTGTCCTCACCTGCTTGTTCACCCTCATGTCTTGGTAACAGCTGGCAAGACAGGTGGAAAGAGAAAAAGTAAAAGGCCAGCCATTTCCTTTTACGAGAGGGACACATTTACCTTCTCTGCCATTTGATTAATGAGGACTTCATCGCAGAATCACCCCTGGCTGCGAGTGAGGCCGAGAAATGTATTCTTTGGCTGGTCAGACGTGAGCTGTACTAAAACTTAGAGATTCTGAGTTTTAGGGTGTGTCTGTTATGAAAAAGAAAAAAGAGCTAATGGGTATGAGACAATGTTTCTTATTTTACTTAGCTGTACTTTAAAATTTTTGAGTTGCCTTCTATTTTAAATTGATAAAGAAAGAATTCATCTTCAATGTAGGAAAAATTAGAAAATACTAATAAACAACATAGAAGAAGCAATTCCTCCTCTCCCAAGACGTTAGCTCTTTGCCCGTCATCCGTGTCGTTTTGGGGGGGGGGGTTCTAAATATCCTTGGGTGACTGTGTCTTACGCTTTTCATAAGGCAGTGGGAAATAAGCCTTTTTCCCTTTTCATCTTGTTTCCTGATGCCGTGTGTGCACGTTTGAAGGAGACAAACCCCACAAGTGTGAAGTCTGCAGCAAGTGCTTCAGCCGGAAGGATAAGCTGAAGACCCACATGCGGTGCCACACGGGCGTGAAGCCCTATAAGTGCAAGACGTGTGACTACGCTGCTGCGGACAGCAGCAGCCTCAACAAGCACCTGCGGATACATTCCGACGAGCGGCCCTTCAAATGCCAGATCTGCCCCTACGCCAGCCGCAACTCCAGCCAGCTCACCGTACACCTCCGGTCCCACACAGGTACGTCCTTCATGTGGTCCTTACGCTGTGCTCCCAACTGCCTGTTGCCTAAATCACCGGCACCTTCAAGCACTGAGCCACAACCTAAGTAAAGGACCTGGGCACGTTAGTTCATCCCGTGGTTTGCAGTTTTGCTTTTCATCTGCTCAGAAGTCGCTTTCCCTGTAAAATAGGGAAAAACATTAAGGTTATAACTTTATACACATCTTTATGTAGCTTTAGACCCTATTCACTAGTATTTACTTGAGGAGGTGCGCTAAATGAAATATAGATATAAGCAATGCATTTTTAATCAGTGTCTGCATAACGTATGGTTAGGCATTTCAGTCGTCTTTTGAAGACTGCTCTGATCAGTTCAGCATGGGACAGCTTGATGAAAAAACTCAGCTGAGTAGGCAACTTAACAAATGATGTATGTTTTCCTTTTAGCAAGTGTGTCTCTTAGCTTTCGATACAGTGGTACTGTGTAACCACCACAAAATCTCAGCAGCATATTATAAAAGCATTTATTGCTCACATACTTCAGGTCAGCAGGGAGTTGGCTAGACATTCCATTGATCTTGGCTGGGCTTAATCACATGTGTGGGAAAGGCTGAGTGTCCACTGACCTTGGCTGGGGATCTGCTGGCTGTCTCCTTGCCTTGGCTGGGGCAGTCTGGCTCTGCCCACATGTCTCATAGCCTCCCTCTGGGACCAGTGGGCTACTCCAGGCTTGTCCTTCTCATGTCAAGGGCAGACCTCTGCATGGAAGACAAAACAAGTATGCCCCAATGCGTAAGCTCATTTCAAGCCTCTGCTTGCATCCCATTGGCCTAAAGTAAGTTAAATGGTCGGGCCTGGTGTCAAGGGGTGGGGCTGAGCTCACCCACAGTGGAAGGTCATCCCAGGGTTACATGGCAAAGGCCATTTTTGCACCAACCATCATTCACCAGTTCACCCCACCATCATTCACATCTCTCTGACATGCAGATGCATTCATGGCCTCCCAACACCCACACAAGTCTAGCCAATCATAGGATCAGGAACTTGCAGTCTCCATCAGGTATAGATATGGCTTCTCTTGACCTAGAGCCTTCTGCAATAAAAAGACAAGCTGTCTGTCCCCACGCTCCCAGCATGCAGCAGTGAAACGCAGCCAGGATACTTATAATATTCCTGCTGTTCCAAAGGGGAAGAACAGGAGGCGCTTGGCAGTCACTGGTGCACAGATTTCTGAAATCCCTCTGGGCAGGTGTTTCCAGGTCCCCCCACTCTGGGAACAGGGAATGTTTCTTGATTAGGCGTTGACTCGGCCGCGTGCTTTTTGACTCTGCTCCCTGGAGCAGCCTTTCATCACCTCCCTTAACCACTTCTGAAAAGGAGTGGAAAATGTGCCTTTGAGAACCTTTCTCAGCCTGCTTCCTGCCTACCGAAAGTTGGGATCTTTTTAGGTTTTATTTTAGTCTAGACTGACAGCTTTGCTGATAGAGCTATCTTAAAAACGTTGTGAGTTTCCTGTGTATCTGTGTGCCAAAAGCCACACCCATAATTCTTCCGGAGACTTGCCTTTCCTCTAAACTCAATTATAGGCACTTTCGGCAAATAATGTTCTGTAGGTTGAAGCCGGTGCGACTTTTAGGAATCCGTGTCCAGCTGAGAGGACTTACTTGGCACCAACTTTATTCTTTTGGAGATTTTGACAAAGAACCTTGTGCTTACACCCTTCATTTCTCATTCGTTCTTCCCTCTGCGATCAGTTCCCTGGATATGATCTTTGTTCCCAGGCTTTTGTCGTACTTTGAAAATCTTTTGCTGGTTGAAGATGGGAAACTTCATCTAACCCAGCACATCTTTGATTTTCTGTATTCTCGCTAAATTCCATTTTGAAAATGGCCAGTTCTTTTTTGAATTTGTCTCTTTCTTGTGGGACCTTATCATATGCAGCTTGTAAGACACTTTCACTGTTCTGCTTAGAACTAATGAATCTCTTCGCTCAAGTTCAGAATTCAGTGGTTACATTTTCTATCTTCTAAGTTACGACAGGTGACAGTTTTCCCAAATGCTTGCCGTGAAATGTGTGCACTGCCACTTTTCCAGCCTTTACCTGCCCCCCAAACCCAAAGCTACGTATTTTAGTTTTCTGTTACGGCAGCGCTCTGTTTCTCGATGCCAATATGTGTATCAGTTATCTGTTGTCACAATAATGCAGTGTAACAAAAAACCCCACAGAACCTCAGTGGATACAACAACATGCCTTCTCTGTTCATGTTTGGGGATCAGCTGGGTGTCATCTGGGCAACTCTGCTGGTCTTTGCTGGGCTCACTTACAAATCTCAGAATCTGCTGGCTGTGGGCTAGCTGTCCACTGGCCTTGGCTGCAACAATCCACCTGCGCTCCACGTCTGTCTTCCTCCTCCTGGGATCAGCGGGTAGGACAGGATTGACCTCCTGGCGATGGATGACAGAGGTACAAGCGAGCAAACCCCGATTCACAAACCCATTCAAGCCATTACTTGTATCAAGTCTGGTTAACATACCATCAGCCAAATCCAATGACGTGATAGAGCCTATTTTATTAGGGGTCGTGGCAAGTCATCCTGTCCCGTCGGGAGAGCATGCATAATTACATACATGGCAGAGGCCATGGCTACAGGGAGCGATAGGAGGTGGGGAGGTCTGGGGACATTAATCTTCTACAGCAAGTTAAGACATTGGCATAACTGGCACCCATCTGATTTTCTTCAGAAATCTCCTCAGCCTCAGAGGCACTGAAGGATTCATTTAGGGAAGTTGTTCAGAATCATCTTAACTTAGGAGGGTAAACTTAACCATTTCATTTATAATAGCATCTTTAAGTTGGTCTAGAAAAAGTATATTTTCTAAAAATTTAAATGTATGCCATTTATGCAGTATCTCCATGGAATGTTCATTTCCCTTTTATAAATCTGTGGCACTTGTAAAATTTTACAAATTGTAAAATTAATAGGATTTTGTCTTTACCCTTCCATCGCTTTGATCAACTATATTGTCTCGGTGGCAACCTAAACTCAAGAGATCTGTCAGCTTAAATATATCAGTTGCTTGTTCACGGAGCAACATTCACTAAGTCCTCACCAGGTACCAGACACTGCGAGGGTCAGGTAGTGGGCAGGAATGAACGTGGTCGTTAGCTTTGGGGAGCTTATGGTCCAGTGGCACTGGTACTGACCAGTCTGCCTCATTTAAGAAATAAATCTATGGTGAAAAGGAAAAAGAAGATAATGATGAGGAAAAGATTTAAACCTTTTGCCTTCACGTCAAAAAGTGTTGTTAAGCTCTGCGACTCAGCTGTGAGATTTGGTTATCTGGTTTTCCTGGGTTTGACCTCTGCTAAATTGCTTTTAAAAAAAAAAAAGGCAAACAGATCGTCACTAATTTGGGCAGTGATGTAACTGGAAGACCTAGCAGAACATTCTAGAGCAATGATTCTTCCTCTGATTCCACAGACACCTCCACGCAGGGATCCATGAGTAGAATTTAGGAGGACCCTGAACTTGGATGAGGAAAAAAATTACATCTTCATTTTCACTCATCTTACTGAAATGTGATGTGTCCTTCAGTTATGAAAATAGGCATCCAGCCTGATTACCGTGCATGTGAACTTGTCGCCAGTAGAAATCACAGATCTTTTTATAACGTGTTTCTGATAGATCGAAACATCGTTTACACTCTTCTCCATTTAGAAATTGGTGTAGTCACTAGACCCACCGCTAGAGCTTGTTACTTAATGCACACACATTGCCAAATCACAATTTAATTATTTAATAATTTTCAATATAGTTAGTTTGTTTTGTATTCCTTTTGATTTTTATTTTAGTTTACTTTGTGCATTTAAACATTACCCCGAGAAAGCGTGCATGGGTTTCACTAAACCGCCAGAAAGGGGTCCGTGGCATAAAGATGGTTGAGAGCAACATTCTAAGACAGAAGTCAGCAAACTTTTTCTATAAAGAGCCAGATAGTAAATATACTTTAGGCTGAGCGGGCCATACAGTGTCTATCACAATTTACTCACCTCTGCCAGTTGTAGCATGAAAGCAACCAGAAACAACACACAACAAATGGACATGGCTGTGTTACAATAAAACTTTATTTACAAAAACAGGCTGTGGGCTAGATTTGACTCACAGTGTGTATAGCTTACCATTCCTTGTTCTAGAGTTTCACGTGAATGATCTCAGTGGCATTTAGTCATTCAAAGCATTGTTTAGTTTGGGGCTTCTTCCTTTTCTCGAAGCTTGTTTAATTTGCTCCATCATTAATTGCATTTATTAAACAGCTCATTGTGATGTTATAGGTCTTATACCAAAAAGCCAGAACACAGTCCCACTCTTTTGAGCTTATGGTAAGAAAGCAAACATTGGTCATATGTACAGATAATCACCTAGCATCCAAGAATACCAGCTTTGGCTACATACGCTAAGATGTTAACCAATATATGACATTCTGGAAAGGGTAGAACTATAGAGACAATTAAAAATATCAGAGATTTCAGGGGTTCCGGGAGTGGGGTTAGGGGTGAATAGGTGTAGCACAGGGCATCTTTAGAGAAGTGACACTATCCTGTATGCTACTGTAATGGTAGATATGTAATAGTATTCATTTGTTGAAACCCATAGAAATATAGAAAACAAAGAGTAAATCCACATGTCAGCTACGGAGTTTAGTTAATAATAATCTATTAATATTGGTTCATCAGTTGTAACAAGTGTACTGCATTAATGCAAAATGTTAATAATAGGGAAACGACGTGCAGGGGAGAGAAGGAGCGAGCATATGGGAACTCTGTACTTTCTGTATAATCTCCCCAAACCTAAAACTGCTCTAAAAAAGTAAAGTCTTTTAATTACAAAGAAAAAAAAAAAAGAATACCCGCTTTGGAATCAGCCTGGGTTGGAATCCAAGCTCTGCCATGTACTACCGAGTGACTGGAAACAAGTGATAGAGTCGCTCCAGGCCTCAGCCTCCTCATTTGTACAATAGTGTTGGGAATAATATTGATAATAGTACCCACCTCATGGGAATGTCGGGATCATCAAGTGAGACCATTCTTGTGGAATGCTCAGCAGGGCGCCTGCCGTCCGGGAAGCCACCGAAGAACCTTAGCGGCTGTTGTTTCGCTTGCTTAAACAATATTGCAATGGGCGGGGTCACCAATTCGCTTGAATTATCAGATGATTGGGACTTAGCGTTCACTGAGGAAATAAACTTGGAATATCATGTCCTTTCAGATGTTGCAATTTCGCTTTTCCTGTTCATCTTTCACCGAACATGAATTAAAAAAAAAAAAATCAAGCAGCTGGATTTTGTAACTTCACAAGTAAAGAACGCAGCTGGCAATGTGGGATAAATAAATTGTGCGCAATAAACACGTCTTTATTAATAAAAATCTGCATGAAGTGTAAGCTGGGCGTTTCAATCATTGTAAAAAGAATATTCTGATGAGTGAGCATGGAGCTGACTGATTTGAAAATGTGCCCTTGAATCTGTTGCAACATGTAACTCAACCAAAATCAACGGATTATGCAAAATTATGCAACTGTGAATGGTTCCCTAGCAGAGTGAACACAATAACCATAGGAACGATAGCGTGATTGTTTTCAAGGATATACTAAGTGTATTCGCAAATCTTATTTTTTTTTACTGGGGACAGTTAAATAGCTTGATTTTCAATCTCCGTTTTTCTTCCGGGTGTTATAATGGTGGTGGTGCTTTAAGTTTGGGAAAAGGAGAGAAGCCCCCGACCCCTCTTTTTTTTTCTCCCAGGGGCTGCTAGGAGCTGCAGTTAGAAGGTCTCCACCCGCCTGCCTTGGTATAAGCGATTTTCTGGTGTGTGCTTCGGGGGGATCCGCTATGGTTGTTGCCTGCCTGTTCTTATCGAAACTCACCTTGTGTTGACAGGGGACGCCCCCTTCCAGTGCTGGCTCTGTAGCGCCAAGTTCAAAATCAGCTCGGACTTGAAAAGGCACATGCGCGTGCACTCGGGGGAGAAGCCTTTCAAGTGCGAGTTCTGCAATGTCCGCTGCACCATGAAGGGGAACCTCAAGTCGCACATCCGCATCAAGCACAGCGGGAACAACTTCAAGTGTCCGCATTGCGACTTCCTGGGGGACAGCAAGGCCACGCTCCGCAAGCACAGCCGGGTGCACCAGTCCGAGCACCCCGAGAAATGTTCCGAGTGCAGCTACTCCTGTTCCAGCAAGGCCGCCCTGCGCATCCACGAGCGCATCCACTGCACCGACCGCCCCTTCAAGTGCAACTACTGCAGCTTCGACACCAAGCAGCCCAGCAACCTGAGCAAGCACGTGAAGAAGTTCCACGGCGACGTGGTCAAGACCGAGGCCTCGGAGAGGAAAGACACGGGCCGGCAGAGCAGCCGCCAGGTGGCCAAGCTGGACGCCAAGAAGACTTTCCACTGTGATCGGTGCGATGCCTCCTTCATGCGCGAGGACTCGCTCCGCAGCCACAAGCGGCAGCACAGTGAGTACAATGAGAATAAAAGCTCGGATGTGACCGTCCTGCAGTTTCAGATCGACCCCAGTAAGCAGCCCGCCGCGCCCCTCACTGTGGGGCACCTCCAGGTGCCCCTCCAGCCCAGCCAAGTGCCCCAGTTCAGCGAGGGCAGAGTCAAAATCATCGTTGGCCATCAGGTGCCTCAGGCAAACACCATCGTCCAGGCTGCGGCGGCCGCAGTGAACATCGTACAGCCCGCCTTGGTGGCGCAGAACCCAGAGGAACTGCCCGGGAACAGCCGGCTGCAGATCTTACGCCAGGTCAATCTGATCGCCCCTCCTCATTCCTCGGGGTGTCCGAGCGAGGCGGCGGCGATGCCCCAGCCGGCTGTCCTGCTGACCACTCACGACCAGACGGACGGAGGCACTTTGCACCAGACCCTCATCCCCACGGCCCCGGGCGGCCCCCAGGAAGGCTCTGGCAACCAGACTTTCATCACCAGCTCGGGCATTACTTGCACTGACTTCGAAGGCCTGAACGCTCTGATTCAGGAGGGGACCGCTGAAGTGACTGTGGTCAGCGACGGAGGCCAGAACATCGCCGTGGCCACCACGGCTCCGCCCATATTCTCCACCACCTCTCAGCAGGAATTACCCAAGCAGACTTACTCCATCATCCAAGGAGGCGCCCACCCAGCTTTGCTCTGTCCGGCGGATTCCATACCAGACTAGTGCTTATAAAACAAAAGAAAGGGGGAAAAAGGAGTGACCAAAACAGAAGGCAGAAATGGAATTCTGTGAGAGGTCTGCCCTTAATGCTTTTAAGGCCTGTTGTGAAAACACCCCGCCCGCATAATAAATTGTCATTTTATACTGCTTACTGAAATTTCTTTTATGCTGCGGTAGTTGTGAGACCTCTGAATCGCGGTGTTCTAAGTGCTGTAGAATCTTAAATACTACCAAGATGATCCCGATTAGGGGTTGGAATGAAATGAATTGAGTAGTGAACACGTTTGTTTGCTTCCAACTTGATTTGCAAACTCTAATAAAGGTTTTTGCCACCTCATTAAATTTGTGTAGTAGATGGTGCTTCTAAGCCTCTCAAGTCCCCATTCTGAAATACCCCCGATGTTTGGGGTAATAGTGTGTTAATACATGGATACAAATCTATCGGCATGAAGGACCATTTTCTACATAATGTTACATGGACTTTTGATCAAAAAAAAAAAAGTTTAGCGTAAATGAGGGAAAAAAAGGAATGGTTTCCTAATAAACTGCTACATCATTAAAACATAACAAATGTTAGTGATTCTCTAGAGTCACAGTATGATTTGGGTTATTGGGGTTTGAATTATATAATTAAAGAGAACTTGAAGAAGCAAAGCTTCTTCTTAGTCCTCTCTCATGAATAGTATATAAATGCCTTACCTTCTTCACAGTCAAATATGTGTGGTGCCTAAAGTGACCCAACTATCATTTTTATTTTGAAACTTCAGAGTGACAAACCTGACGTTTCTGTTTAGATACTGATATAATTAACCTTTAGGTTAGGTTAATTATAATATTAACCTTTAGGACAGTTTTCTAGGATGGCATTGTTTTAGATAGTAATATACGTGCAGTCCCAGGGATCAGATGAGAGGGATTGGAAAAGCACCTAGGTCCAAAGCATGGGCTGTACTGACGAGAGGGAAATTTCAAATTTGTCTGTTTTGAATTGAAATGCTGTGTGATCAGTAGGTGGCGCCAGAGAGCTATCTCAAATTACCCGTGCTTGGATCCAAAGACCTGAATTTGGGTCTTCATCTCTGATTTCCAGCTTCTAGCATTATCTTCAACTCAGGGTGGGCTCTTAATAAACACTGCATAAATGAAACATGCTGTCACAGAGCATGAGCAAGGATTGATGAGGAGGGGAAGTTACTCTTGTGAGAGAAGCGTATTTAAAATGCGAGAACACTTTAGATACATTTTTACCAGAGTAATCAACATTTTAATTTTATTCCCTAACACACAAACTTATTAAAATTCTCATGCATATCAATTCACTTTTACATAAAGATATTATTCCCTCCCCCCCCTTTTTTTTGTAATAACGAACTAAGGAAATATGGAAAATGGTGATGCTGAAAACCTTGAGAAGTGCCTGTTGGAAATAGAAAGTCAGCATCCCTTAGGATACACATACAGGGACTTCCCCAGTGATCCAGTGCGGTGCTTCCAATGCAGGGGACGCGGGTTCCATCCCTGGTCGGGGAACTAAGATCCCACATGCTGCGCAGCGTGGCCAAGAAAAAAAAGAAAACACATACATATATATATATCCTCAAGCTGGGCTCTGTCTTCTTTCTTTTTATCTTTGATCCTTCTTCTTCGCCAGAAATTATTTTTGTATCAGCAGTGATGATAATGCATCATAACTATGGTTTGGTAAGAAATCAAAAAAGCTTGCAGCTTACTCTGTTAGTATTTTATCACTTTAGAATTACTGCTTGCAGTTCTTTAGGAAACTATTCAGCCATTGGATTTTACCTGGGAAACTTCTATTGTCATGAACCTGTGTTCTACATCTTTTTTCCCAGTGTGCCCCTAGTTTCAACTTTTAAATGATTTTTTTCCTGATTATAAATGTAATGTGTATTCAAGATAAAAAATATGGGAAACACGTTATAGATCTTCCTCGACGTACGAACGGGTTATGTCCTGATAAACGCATTGTAAGCTGAAAATATCATTAAGTTGAAAATGCATTTAGTACAGCTAACCTACCAAGCATCATAGCTTAGCCTCATCTACCTTAAATGTGCTCAGAACATTTACATTAGCCAACAGTTGGGCAAAAATCTGCCTATTTTAGAAGAGAATATTGAATAGGTCATGTAATTTAATGAATACAGAAAGTGAAAAACACAGATTGGAGGGGTACAGAATGATTGTAAGTGTATCAGTTGTTCACCTTCGTGATCCCATGGCTGACTCACTGCCACTGCCCAGCATCGGGAGAAAGAATCAGACCACATAGTGCTAGCCCAGGAAAAGATCAAAATTCGAAGTATGACTCTATTGAATGTGTATTGCTTTTGTACCATCGTAAAGTCGAAAAATTGTTAAGTTGAGCCATCGTAAGTTGGGGACCATCTGTATGTATATTAAAAAAATTTAAAAGTCACTAATAATTTTACTATCCAGATGTAAAAATTGTGACCATTTTAATGGACTTCCTTCTAATCTTTTTTTTCTATGCTTGTGTATGTTTTCTATTTTTAAAATTTATTTTATTTATTTATTTATTTATGGCTGCATCAGGTCTTAGTTGCGGCATGTGGGATCTTTCATTGTGCTGCGGGCTCTTTTGTTGTGGCGCGTGGGCTTCCTTCTAGTTGTGACATGCAGGCTTCTCTCTAGTTGTGGCGTGCAGGTTTTCTCTCTCTAGTTGTGGCACATGGGCTCTCTCATTGAGGCGTGTGAGCTCAGTAGTCGTGGCACGCAGGCTCAGTTGCCCCACGGCGTGTGGGATCTTAGTTCTCCCACCAGGGATTGAACCCGCGTCCCCTGCATTGGAAGGTGAATTCTTTACCACTGGACCACCAGGGGAGTCCCGTATGTATGTTTTCTACTCCAGTTACAGAGTTGGGGTTGAATTGAGCATACTATTTTCTTTTTATATACTATATTTCTCTTTATATCATTATATCTCCACAGAACTGCTGCCCTCCATAGATACATATAATGCATATACACACACATGCATATTTCGATTTTTTTAACAAACTACAACAGCAAAACTTGTTCCTTGTGATAAACTATATATAGAATTGTACAAAAACCAAGCCAATAATCTCCAGCCTATTCTCATTCCACCCAAGGTAAGTAAGGTCTCTGTGTTCATACCAACTTAAAAGATAACCTAGAAAAGGCTTTCCCTTATTTTTATAGTAATTGTATCACACTATGTACATTTCTCTCTACCTTGCCCTTATTATTCCATTTATTAACAGTACTGTGTGTCAGTACAGCTATGCCTAACTTTTTTTTTTAAGCAAACGGTAGACTATGTCTTACCATGTTATAAGCACCATGCTTTATTCACCCATCTCCATCTTCATGGGTATTTTGGTTGTTTGGGGGTTTGTTTGCCATTACAAACTGCCACAGTAAACATCCTACATAGTTCCTCTTATTCAGTTGTGCTTTCTTTTCTTTCTGTAGGTTAGAGTCCCCAAAGTGCATTTCAATGAGTTTCTGTAGCTTGTACTTGCGTAGATTCAGATAAGTTTTTCAGAACGATAGATAGTCTCGTTGGTGGTGCTGGTGGTGCGGGCTCCAGCTATCACAAATCTTGTTATCCATCTTTTGAAGTTTTGTAGGTCTGATGTGTGAAAATGGTAATCTGGTCTTTGTGCATTTCCTGAGCTGGTGTTTTGATCTGCATCTCTGTGACACCTCTGCATAGACTTGTTGATTATTTGCATTTTTCTTACCTATGAACTTTAAACTCATACTCTTATTTTTTTCCTTGGGTTGCTGGGCACCTGGGGATGTGAACCCCATGTCTGTCAAATGGTGCTGAGTTTTCTCCCCTCCTATCCTTTGTCTTTTGACTTCCTCATGGTGCTATTTCCACATAAAAATAATCATTTTGTATGCAGTCAGATTCTTCTAGTGCTTTATTTGTGGCTCCTGTAGTTTCTAAGAAAGTCCTCCCTTCCCTTGAGGGTTTTTTCTTTAATATTTTCATTATTTGTTTTCAGTTTCTGCAGCCAGAGTTCATATTTATGTGTGTATGATATAGGAGTTTAGCTGCCCAATTATAACCAGGACCATGTGTTAAACAAAATATTATTTTCCTTGGAACTGAAATCTTAATTTCACCTTTAGATGAAGTTCCCAAATATACTTGGCTCTATCTCTAGAATCTCTGTTTTATCTCACTGATCTTTATACTTCTCTGGGTTGCCAACATTACATATTTGATTGTATTAGCATTAAGGTAATCCTTAGTATCTTTTAGACTTGCAAAGCCTCCCCATAGCTATTATTTTCCAAAATTTTCTTAGCAATTCTTAAATATTCATATTTCTAAACGAACTTCATTTTGTCCATTACCCCTCCCCCCATAAAAAGTAAACCTTTTGAGGATTTGTATTAGAATTGTATCTGTATGGTTACATGAACTCATGAAAAGAAGACTTTAAAAACTGTTAAATCTGGGACTTCCCTGGCAGTCCAGTGGTTAAGACTGTGCACTTCCACTGCAGGGGGCACGGGGTTGATCCCTGGCTGGGGAACTAAGATCCCACGTGCCACACGGCGCAGCCAAAAAAATAAAAAATAAATGTTAAATCTTCCACCCAAAAACTTTTATTTAAACCCTGTTGTAATATATAGTTTTCTTCATATACAGTCTATTCTTATTAAATAGGGCCTGTATTTTCTTGTTGTTTTGAATTCTATTGTAACTGTAAATAGGATTTTTTTATGTTAAAATAATTATTTGTTGCAAGCATAGGGAATAGCTATATTTGGTATATTTGTCTATATTGTACTACCTTAGAAAAAAATTTTTATTCATTGACAGTATTTATTAGAAACTCTTGGTCGCTGATAAATATGACATGATGGTTGTGGTATAGTCACCTCATTCCCAGGTGTTTTTTTCTCGTCCCTTGCAATACTTATACTACTTATTTTGCAGTCTTGTCCTATTGTATTAGTCAGAACCTCCAAACAATGTTGAAACAGCTGGCATCCCTGTTGCATCTCTGATTTTTAACTTGAATGGCTTTAGAATTTCCCAATTTAATATAATATATGCTATTCCTTGGGTGACAGTTTTTATAGTACTTAGTCATTTTCTTCTCCCATTTTCAGAGTTTTTATCAAGGTGGGTTGCTGATTATTGTCAAATATCTCTTAACTATCTCTTGACATAAATATTTGGGTTTTGTACTTACATATGTTGATATGTGAATTAGTGTAGGACATAGCCTGGTACTGAAGCCTCTTGCATTCCTGAAACAAACCGTCTAGGTGATGTTGGATTATTCTTCTAATACATTCCTAGATTTCATTTACTAATATTTTCCTTGAAATTTTTATAACCTTATGTGTAAGTGCAGTTGAATGCTGGTTTTCTTCTTTGTTCTCTGACTTTGCTTGTTTGTTTGTTTTAGGTTATGTTTCTCTGAAAATAAATTGAGGCTCTTTCCTCCTTTTTCATTGACCAGCAATAGTTTGTTATTTCAGGAATTATCTGTTTATTTTCTGGGCTGATACCCTTTTTCATTGTACATTCTTAACAAACTTTCCATTTTTTTCTGTAATTAATGGTCTATTTGGACTTTATGTCTCAACCTGATAAATTTTGGTAATACATACTTTGC